ATAAAAATAAATGTCTCATATAATTTTAGAATTATTTAAAGTCTCTAAATATTTTTTTTGACACCATATGAACTCCCATAAATTTTTTCCTGTTTGTCATTACAATGAAAATAATTTAGATATTCGATTTAAATGAGATAACCTATATATAATTTTGATATGAGTGAATTCCGGAAATTTTTATAAGAGCGAATTTGTGTAACAATAAATGAAAAAAATTGATCAAAGTTTGCAAAAGTTAGTGAACCGTCGTCGTTCGCGAAGCTAAGAATAATCGAATTTTTGGGTCAGCTTTGATCGCTGTCTCTGAATTAACGCGAACACTTTGCATTGTTACGTGCAAGCTCGATGCCATATGATTGGAGAACTCTGGTTACGAACAATAGCTCGGATTAACTGAACCCGTTACACACGTGACACGTGTTCGACACACACGTGCCTGATCGATCGGAAACTTTTTTGGATCCTTTTGCAGTCAGACGTTTTGTGTCCTCGAATTCCCGGTACACTGACCGAAATTGAACGGGAGAAAAAAAAGGAGCGAGGAAAACATCACGTTTCATTTATCACTCGAAACCTTCTACGGTTTTACAAATACGGAAAAACAATTTACTTCGAAACTGTTAATTAACCATCGCTATACGATACCTGCGTATATTCAGACCCAGATATATTTTCAAACAACGTTTAGCGAAACGGAAAAAGAGACGTATTCGATTTAAACAGATATACAAATTTTTTTAATACAAAATCTTTTTTTGTTCGTCTGAATAACTGGAAAATATTTTTATCTTCTGATGTATGCAAAATATTTTTAATGCAAGATATTTTTCTGTTTCGTCAACACATAGAAAATATTTTTTTTTTAATATATGACAAATATATTTATGTTCTTTTAATACATGGAAAACATTTCTCATTTTTTTGATATATGAAAGACATTTTTATATCTTTTCAATACATGATAAATAATTTGAATACCTGATAAATTTTGTAATACACGGAAAATATTTTTGTATTTTGTTTAGAAAAATATTTTTACGAGTTTCTGATTCGTGGAAAGCATTTTAATATGTGGAAAATATTTTTACAATTTTTTTGATATCCACAAAATATTTTTATATTTATATAAATCTTTATCCTTGACAATATTTGTAAGACAGAGAAATAATTCAATAAAAGCTAAAGTGTAAACAAAAAAAATTAATGGAAAATAAAAAATAATTAAAATAAAGTAAACCCAAAAACTTATTAAAGCTTCAGGTTCAAATGAGAAAAAAATGTGGATTCTTTTTGTATGTATCATGTTTCTCGATCGATTTATAAATTGGTAGTTGTGTACGGCGGATAATTAACGGAGTAAATCGTGTCTTCTTTATCCGTTGTTATGAATTCTTTAAAATTACGTCGGCTAAACAAATCAGCGAACGTAGTATTTGTACCATGTTGGCGGTGGCTGTTGCATTTTAATGAATTCGAAAATTATACCGCCCCAATGCATAAGAAAAAGCCGGTTGTAAGGAGGACGATGAATTCACCTAAACACGAAAAATAAATAATTCTCGAAAAAACTTCGTCCCTCGGTGAATCAACGAATCGCCGAAAAATCATGAATAATTATGACCCCTTCAACAGCTTCAAAAAACATGGATATTTTCCCATTTCATAAAAAATTCCCATAAAAACTTCCGCAAAATTTTCCTCGTTACGAATGGCAGTTCGATATAAAAAATTTTCAAATTTTCCTGTTATTCACAGTTCTGGCTCTTTCGAAATTAATTTCGTACTTTTTCGCTTTAGGGCCGAGGTTTCAGGGATGGATGTCGATTGTTTTCTGGATTTGTTAAATGACCGAAAACCCTAAAAAAATCTGAATCATTGATCGAAGTTAAATTGTTATAATATTAAAAATTGAAATTTTCTTTCTAAGATACCGAATTATCAGAAACTTTTAACACGAATATGTTTATACTTCATTAAAAAATATCACAACATTAATCAACAAATTTTTAACATCTTTCGAACATCGGAAATTTTTATGACACTTATTAAAAGAAATAAGGACATGTGCATGTTAATTCATGTGAATAATAGGATGCAGAATATAGGAATTTTTAAACACATTTATCCGCGAGGTAAATGGAATGCATGTAAAATCGATATAAAATGAAGATAATTATTGTGCTTTAATTAAACAATATGGGAACATTAGGAAAATAATTTTGGAAGCCCATTTTTCATATCGAATTTCCTCATGATACAACTCGTTAAAAGTAGTAATATGTATATGAGTACAAATGAACCAAGATATGAACGTATTCAAAGATATTTGTTAATCAGCGAAAATATCACCAAGTTTCTGGAAATGCAGAAATTTTTGATCAGGGAATAGCGTAAAAAATTAGAGTGAAATCAATGCGAATTAGAGTTTAAATTAATGCAAAATTACTTGTATAATTGGTAATATGTCACTGAATTTAATTTATATATATTCAAATCTAAATTGAATCTTTCGTAACTTCATAGCATTCCTTTTATCTATGAACAATAATCATTTAATAATTTTACGAACATGTAATAAAAAGTATGCAAACTAATGGGTAAAATGAAAACTGATAACTTGTGGATAAAATGAAAAATTTTCTGAAACTTGATAAGTTATGAAATGTTTATATGCAAGGGTTGGTACTGAATTTATACACATTTTAACCAACTTAATGACTAGTCAGATTAATTATTAACTTTCCAATACAAATAACCACTGTTTTTTAATGTTAGTAATTAGACTGTGTATTTTCAATGAATTTCATGATGAATTAGTGCATATATTAAACTGAATTATTAGTCCTGTAAAATTTAAAAATTTGGCCAAACTTATAAATATTAAATGAAACACAAGACATATGAAAAACTGCATTACTTCCTTTATTTATTTAAGATATATACAAGGAAATAATACTACTACTCAAATTTCTGTTACAATAAAAAGAACTTACAGAACATTGTAATTGACTAAACCTCCAAATATTATATAAATTCTGGACTTGCATCACAAAAATTTCAAAATTGTATACTTTCAATTTTATGAGAACAAATAGAAAGATCAAAGAAATTAACATTTTAGAAAAAAAAACTCGTTGACGACTAAATTCATGACCATCACATTCCCTGCAAAATTATTGACTACAACTAGCATTTATATAAATTTAATTTAAGAAGATTAATTAAAAATCTTGCTTCGAAATATCTAACTAGCAATAGACAGTACAATAATACAATTCTCAATTAAAATCATCCACACTTGTGTAAATAATTATACAGTATTCACAATAGAATTGGAATGATTTTAAAGCAAAACCATTGGTGTATTTCGGATTTTTATCTATCTACCTTAGGATGGAGGTAACCTTGAATCATTTTCACCACGTTATATTGCCGTGTATAGTCAAGCGATAAACTGCTCTATATTAAATCATCACGTATTATATCGCCTCGTGCTGTACAACTACATGAGCACGCAATATACAACCATACATTATGTGGCTACGTGTCATCAATATATTACCACACGGAATATATTACCACATATTGTATAGTTACACCTTACATCACGCAATATATTACCACAATTTGTATGACTACACATTACATCATTATGCAATATACTGCCACGCATTATGTGACTACACATTACATCTTTACGCAGTATAGTATTGCCATGTACTATATAGTTACATACTACATCATCACGCACTATGTCACGCGCTGGCTACACGTTAAATCATCATGCAATATAGTATTATTATTGTACAGTCACACGTAACGTCATCGCGTTATACCACGCATTATATGGCTGCACATTACATCACGCAGTGTATTACCACGCATAACACGTTACATCACACAATATACTACCGCATATTGAATGATCACACATCATCACGTAATATGTCACGCATGGCCACACCTTGTATCACCACACATTATATGATCACAATTAAGCACGCAATATACTGTCAAGCATTGCATGGTCATACGCTACATCATATTACAGTCTATCTGCACATATAGTCACACGTTACATCAATACATTTCCATATATTGCATGACCACATGTTACATCACTATGTAACATTTCTGCATAGCCACACCATGACGCATTACATAGCCACACGTTACAAATCACCAACTATAAGATGGACCTGTGTTGCCGATGAAAATATATTTGAATCGTGAACTCAATAGAACGCATATTTGTAAAAACGTTCGCATTTATAAAAGCTGTCCAATTCTAGCGAACCGCTGTTCGATCTTTGGTGACCACGTGCATCAAATTGCATGGCAAAGTTCGAAACCGGAGGCTCGATAGAAATCGATTGAATCGACGGACAACCAGGGCCAAAGTGGTTCAGGTCAGCGCACGTGTGACGATATTAATGTACCGACCGATCAATGGCCTAATGAAGATGTATTCAGTTCCTGGCAATTTCTACTAGATCCGCGAAACCCCGGGGCCTTGAATTCGCAAGCTCACAGCTGATCGATCGGTCAATGGATCGAACGGATCGATATATTTGTCGGTATAAGCCCCACGCGTGGCCTTTCGAATCGTGTGTGTATTAATCTGGCGATAAAATATCGCAGTTCTTTTTTTTTTGTATTTCTCTCTCTACCTTTTTTCGCGTGTTTGGTTCTTTTTTTCAGTATCCTGCCGCGAGTTCGTGAAATTCAATTGGAACACTTTGAAAATCAAAAAGTTACGAGAAAGTGAATATCGACGATTTTGTAAGGAAAAAAATTCGCGATTGTTTGGCACGTTGATTTGCAAATTATACAATGTTTGATCATCGAGTCACGGTGATTTATAAAAACAGTAGAAAAAATCTCGTTTTTTCCTCTTTCCATGAAATTAAGAGTTTCGCGACTCCTGCAGAAAATTTTGTAAATACTTTGATCTTTAGACTGTTTAAAGAAATACTGAAATATCGTTAAAGAAATCGTGTATTTTTGAAGTGTTTTATCTTAAAAATATGATAGAGTTATTCAAAAGTCCGTAACTGCTAAAGTATTAACTTGCAGTAAATATTAGTGGGCAGTTAACTTGGTAGAAACATCGTGCTTTTATAATTTTGTAAAATAACGAGTCTGTAAATTCAGTTTTTTGAAATATTTTTGGAAGAATAACGAACGCTGCGTTCGTCAATGGCGGCGATCCGACGGTGTGCGTTCATCCGCTGCTTCTATGAAAATCGCCGTAAAACACCCACTGAAAAATGCGATTAAACAGCATTGATCGATACAGTATTGCTTAAAGTATTAATCATTGTCAAATTTTAAAATCTGTACAACTCAAACTATTTGAAACATCATAAAATAACCAAAATTCAGCTCGTCTGAATCGAATTAAAATAAAAGGAAATACAAATACATTTTTTTAGCAAAAACCGACGAATAGTTAATTAAACACAAAATTCATAATATTTGCACCAGAAGCTACAAACAAAATGAAGACAAATTTGACATTCATTTATTTTCGATTGTTCCGAAAACAGCAGCATTCGAACATATTTTCATAGGTATTTATTGACACAAAACATTTGATTACATCGAAATAGCTTTACAACTCTGTTGAAAACGTATTTTTTCCCCCATTACAATTTTTCTCGTTACAGCGAATGATGTATCCGCGATTAACAATAATCCCGTAACGAATGCACGCATTGCGGAAACACAAATCGTTTACAAGTTACGGAACCGGAATATACACCCTTTGTTCGCCTACATCGACAATTTAGATCTGATGATTAACGAATCATCGATGGATTTCGATCGAAAATCTCGAAACACGTACTCAATAGTGTTCCACGAAATACTGATACGAAAGTGACGCACGATTCGTAAAATACGACGTCCAGATAATTTTACGAACGTTCGAGGGAAAGCTAAAAAAAGAAGCAGCTCGTCGTGTTCGAACTACGAAATATCGAAAACCCGTTTCGAATCGAGACAAATTGTCTCGTTAGGCGACGTGTCGCCTTTGATCGAAGATAATCACCGTAAAAATCAAAAGTAATAACGGATTTAAGGGTAATCAAGAAAAGAAGAGCGAAGGGGTGGCCGAGAGGGGGTGAGAGTAGTATAATTCAGAGTCGACAAGTCGTTGTTATCAATAACATTTTTGCAGAGGCCGTAATATCCCGGGAAAGTAATTAGAGTAAATTCAGGGGTTGCCGAGCGACCCTTCCAGCCGCACAAAATGGCGGCGGGAACCGCCCTTGCGAAAAAAATTAGGCCTCCTTCCGCTGCGCGGTAAAATTTACATGAAAAAAAGGAACGCCCAGCGGCTTTCGGGAAACGAAGCTTCGACAATGCGACTCATTCTTTTTTTTTTACGTGTGTGTGTGTTTTTTTTTCGCTTTTTATGGGTAAATCGAAGGGAGTCCCCGTAGCGGGGTTGCCTGCCAGGGAAATACCTGTAATTTATGTGTAGGAAATGGAAAAAATATGGTAAAAGGTCACGTTCGCTGGTAGACTTTAAAAACGATTAGAATCTTAATATCCGTCGTAAAATACGGACCCGGGCATTATCAAACGAGTATGTATTTGTCTGTCAAGCCAATATATAGTCATAATTTTGCCAATAAAAGTTCTTCTCGGTTATATTTTCTACTCTACTTTCTTTTTTACAGATGAACGTGCAAATAAACGAAACAGGATAATTCATTAACCCTCTATGTACCTGTGAATCGTAAAGTTTCAAATTTCTTTTCTATCTTTACTCTTGTGACCCAGAAGGAACATTTTAAAAATTTTCTTGTGAAAATAATCTTTAACTAATTTCTTTGCAATGTTATTATTGAAATTCTATATTAACGGTTGTGTTGAATTTAGAAAATATGTTTAATTCACTTTTCTGATGCATTTTAGGACATTAACAGTTTTTCGACTTATTTTATTAATTATTATTTATTTTTTTAATTAATTTGGTACTTTGATTATTCTTGAAGAGTTACAGTAACTTTAATCATAAAGATAATCAAGAGAATTTATTTAAATTTAAAACATTAATTATGTGTAATGTTAAAGATATCGGTTTTCTGAATTTACGAAATAAATTAACTGACAAATACGCTGAGATGAAGGTAATTAAAATTGTGATTACTTGACAAAAATTGATAGAGTAAAAATACAAAAAACTTCTTTTCGTATTCCTTCTTCGTTTCAACCCTTAAATACATTGTCATCAAATTTAATTTCAACACTTAATCAATTGGAAAAGGTGATAAGATTCATATGAATAAAAGTATTTACCTTGTACATAATACATTATTTATTTTCGGAATAATTAAATTTTATTTTAAATTATGAGCCAGGTTATCTAAAAATATCCAGAATTGCTTAACGAAAAAGAAAGTATAATTTTGTATATTGCACAAAATTATAACATTTCAAATACTTCATAGAATAATAATTTATCTTTGTCACACGTGAATCATACAATTATCATAACCCTTCATATCATTAAATAAAAATAGTATATTTTTTACAACATTAACTAACTAAACATTGAAATATGCATCATGGATTATTTACATATCTTTATTGTTTCAATGTGTGTCATAGAGGGTTAATTTACTTTAGCTCCTCCACATACGAACATTCGTTCATTAGTTTTATAAACTTATTGATACGAACGTTTTAATCACATGGCAAGGTAAATCGTTTTTCCCAAAAATAATTAGCAACATTGAGTTAATGACTACTAATTGTCTTTGGTAAATATTAATTTACAGATGCAACAATGTTCCAACGATTCTGTTTTTGCAGTGCAAAACTGTCAGAGGAAGGAATTTTCACTTGTAAAAATTAATGGCCATTACGTTGATACACTGAGCGTCATACCAATTGTCGTAATAGAAGTTGATACAAACAAAAGCGGAGTTTTAACGCTTTCTGTTGTTCCTCGCTTGAGAAAATGTGAAATTTTAATACCTTAACTACCCCTTGTGCAAACATTACCGGTGCAGAGTGACGTACAGGGTGTTCTAAAACGGCGTACATTTGTCAAACGTTTCCTCGTCTTTCAATTTGTAAAACATTTTTCTTTCAGCGATAATGTTGAATACGATCTACAGTTTATAATATGGTGAATTTAAATAAAACGATAATTCATTCAAAACGATTCGCTATTAAACTTGATTTCGTGCTCTTCACGAGGGTATCTTTACAGAAAATGTTTGCAGGACTTCCGAATTAATAAAACAATTATTTCAAGCGGAAGATTGTATGAAACGAATGTTATGAAACGTTCATCGGAATGTGCAAATTGAAATTCGAAGGAGTATTTTTTTTAGAAGGTAAACGAGAAGATTGATTTTTAAATACGTAGAAGGGACAATAACGAATCTGCAGAAGTACCCTTCATAAATTCTCCATAATTTATTTTATTCCAAATTTTATAAGTATATGTCATCGACAGAGATTTCCAATTATAAATTCTTCAAAGAATTTTGTGTCGAAAGCGGTACTGCTGATAACTTCATTTATATTTTCAAATGTACTTTTTGTTCCGTTTCTCGCTTGAATCACATGTTTTATCGATAACTTACAAATAAATGATCAGATAATATTACGTATTAAATTGGCAATTAAATTCGCCACTTTTCTGCATATTTTGATTAAAAATCAGCCGACTGAATCACAAAGGAAAAATACTCGTAAACATGGCAAAAGAATTATTTACAATTTGTTCTCCATTGACGTAGTCAACGAATGTTTGATATTTATGTAGTTTGTTTAATAATTTAATATTGATTAATTTATTTAATTGAAATATATATACTTTTTGGTTTTTAATTATTCATTGCTCAATCAGATGGTGACTTAAATTGACATAATATAAAAGTAATGCAATATTTTGTAATTAATTTTAATTATATTTCATTTTAAGCATATATTTAAACATCAATTATATTCGTATTTTGTTTGATGTTCAATTTTATTTTTAATTTGTAGTGTGATTACGATTAGAGTTAATCCAATTTTGTAATTTTATTTCTGATCATAAGTCGATCAGTCGGACCGGTTAAAAGGTTAACATAAATGCAAACGAGCAAACATGTATTAAGTCCTCTTCCTCTCTTTCCAGGCACTTCGCACCGGAAACGCGGAAAAGATAGAAATCGCCATAAATTACAATCGATGCCTGGATACCAAACGAACCAGTGTTTCGCGAAGTTGGAGACGATAAAGGAGAACAGGAAGAAGAGTCGACGAGGAATCGCGGCGATATTTTTTTCACCCTCGTAAATATTCCCTTGAAGCGGGCATATTAGCAAGCGGTACGTTCTTGGCAAGAAGCCGCTGTTAGTGACAGGGCATTCATATTAGCGAACGACCGCACGTTGCCCGCTCTTTCTCTTCTTCTGCTTCAAGCAATGGAAACGGTACACGAGCTCTGTCGTCCTCCTCTCGAGCAAACGAAGTGGAAGGCCGCTGATTGGTAATCGTTAATTACGCCCGTAACTTCCTCCAGAGGAACTCCTATTTCGACAGTTTTTAAAATATCGGCACTTTTGGCGGAGATAGGGAGAAAGGGGGACGAGAATGGCGGATCGGAGAGAAAGTGGAGTCGAGAGAGGATATCGTGGACAAGAACGTATTGATCGAGTTATAGTCTTTGGGGTCTCGAGCCTCTAACACGAGGGAGCCAATGAGAGATCTGGAGGGTGAATTTAGAGCAAGAATGGCGACCGAAGGTCCCTATCGAAACGAACCCCTTTGCACAGTAGGGCAAAACCACAAGAAATGGGGAACAAATTTAACACGCCACTTTTTTCGATCAAAATGTCGAATCCTGTTAACCCTTGTAACCGTTGCGTATCTTCACTTGCTGTACCTTGTTTTAAATTTGTATATTCCAGGATCCATTGAAATATATTTGTAATTTAGTAAATCCATTCATTAATTCTACACTGCTTCAAATTTATAATTCTAGCAAATTTTCATTTTTGAAAATAAAATTGGTTTATTTGGAATTGTATGGTTCACGTTGAATTTCTATGCCGCCATTTTCTCTGAGAAAGTACACCGGGTTCGATACTATACTTTCGAGCAACATGAATATGCAACAAACTGTGTTAATATATGGTTTAAATTAATTTACAAAAAGGTGTAGAAATAAAATTTTTGTAAAATTTATTTAAGGTAAAGATAGAAATATTTCAATGGAAATTAAATATCAGAATTAATAGAAAAATTGTTAAAATCTTCATATTGACTCATTTATAAATATTTTATACATAAAAAAGAGGAATATAAATAAACAAATATTAGTATCATAAATAGCCATTATTATGCCCGAATATAACATAGAAATGAAAATTACGATTGATTAATATTGGCAAGTTTTTTAAATTATAAAAATTAACACGCATTAATTATAAAAGTACCACGGTAAAATAATTTTCAAATAAATAAATAAATAATGAAAAGTTATCTGAACTTCTGGAGAGTAACTAAAAAAGCATATTCCAAAATTTTGAATTTATAAAATAAAATATAAATTTCTAGAGACCAAAAATAATCGCCATATTTCCCCCTTTTAATAATGAGTATAATTGTTTCACAAAAGATTAAAAATTTTGATTTTTTCTTGATTTTCTGTCCCATTATGCGGACGCGATGAAAACACGAGAACACGCGGATACCTTAATCGAGTTTAATTGTTGTGCCGCCCCTTTCCTGAGAAAATGGATGCTAAATTAATGAACTACCCCATTTAGAATCCACGTGAAAGTTTTGATCGGTCGATTTCCTAGATTTCAACGTTACCCCGGTGACAACCAAGCAAGCAAAATTGAAATAACATGAACGGTCCCCGGTTTGTAAAGGAAGTTTAATTGCAAAAGTAGCGATCAAAGTTTTTCAACGGATTGGTAATTAGATGCTTCGATAAAGTTTCAACGTTTCACACTGTGGATGATCAAAGTACTCAGCTGAATACTAAACGACTCCATTCTTCGTAACGGAAGACGATCGATCGATCAGCTAGGTGGGATCTCCTTGTTCTCGTTGCCAACTCTTTTCATTTGAAAATTGGAAAATTAACGTCTCTCGAAAGGAATTGCTAATGATGATTATCTGAAGCTGAAATATTTCGATCGAGTTTGATCCTTTGAAAATTTACAATTAACAAGAATATGTTCGGTTAATTATTATTAAATTAAGTGATTAAGTCTTTGGTCTGAAAGTTGGATTATTAACAAATAAGCTCCAAATTCTAATGAACAAGGAGATAAAATAAATTTTGCAAAACATTAAGAATTGCATTAGTTAAGACTTTATGAATCGACGATATTTTTAATTGAATTTTTTTGTCGTAGATTTAAAAGTTAGGAAATTAATAAAAAAATTATTGCAAATTCAAAAAGTGCAGGAAGTGAAAAACAAGATAATTTTATATTGAAAAAATAACAAAAGTTTCTAAATACTTTTGTAATGATGAAATTATCATGATTAAAAATATAATGTCTGATTAACTTCTATGGTGAAATTTTAATATTCTAATTACATCTTTTACTTCCTCTGTCAATCAAATATTAATTACAAATTAACTCTAAATTTAAAGGAAACTGGCAGGAAAAAAGAATTGGATACTGATTAATAAAAGAGTAATAAGAATTTAATTTTTAATATTTTTTATCAGACATGCGATTATTATTCACGTAAAACAGTAATAGTAAAAAATCTCTTATATGACTACGTTCATTTAAAAATTCTAATTATTTTCCTTTATTCTAAATTTGAAAATCAAAAAGTTAACATCAAATTGACTCCAAATTCGAAATAAACAAGAAAAAGAGAAATTGAATAATATTAAACAAAAAATCGATAACATTTTAATCATTCAGTATTTTTCCCATTATATTATCTAAATTAATGAGAAATTTGATCAAAAATTTTTCATATATCTTCAATAATTTTAAAATTCTAATTGTCTTCTCTCTTTCTTAACCTAGAAACCCAAATTGGTCATAAATTCAAAACAAATCAAAATATATTGTTATAATTAACGAAAAAAGAATAAGAGACTTAGATCTTTCACATAATATCAACAATTTCAAAATTGATTATTTTCGTACTTAACCTAAAAACCAAAAAGATAGTACCAAATGAGATTTAAATCCAAAAGTAATTAATAGGAGGTGATGCAACCAAATGATTTCAGATAAATGAATTATAAGAATTCAGTCATTAAATGTTTCTTAAAGAAATGTCATAAATTAACAAAAAACAATGTTGAAATATGAAATGTCATATATTAACAAATCTTCATAACCTAAAAAGGTTTCCAGGTGCTAGATACTTCACTTCGTTTTTGACCTAGAAATAGAAGAAATAATTGCAAATATTTTTTTAAATTCAAAAGTAATCAAGTTTTTTTAAGTTCAAAAATAAAAAATTGAACGGTAAATAAGTTCTAAATTCAAAAGAGATCAAAAGAAGAGATCGAAAGAGGACAAAAATGAAATAATTTCCAATAGAAGAATAACAAAAATCGAGTAATTTATCGTTTTCTTTACAATGATACAACTATTAGCAAGAAACAATAATTCCAAATCCTGCATAAAACTTTACGAATGATAAAATCTTCCCAGATGATCTTAAATCAGCAAATAAGCTCTAACTTCGAAAGCGACCAAACGAAGGAAAAGGAATCGAATAATTTCCGATAAAAGCGTAATAAAAAGTGTGATACGTTCTCCATCGATCAACCGTATCCTCTCCACACCTACCGTTCATTGAAACGATCAGAATTGCCAATAACAGCCGAGCATAAGGAAGAGAACAGAAATGGTTAATGGAAAAACGACGGAAAAGGGGTAAAAGAAAAGGAAGGGTCGCGCTCGGTAATTTCGAAGCGATCGCCGGCCAGCCGAAGAAGCGATACGTCCTCCATTACGAGGATCGCGCCATAAATCACAGTCGGCCTCCATCGTCCCGATAGAATTCCCCATAATTCGTGAATTATTCGTGAAGAGGAGCGCGGTTACGAGCGACGCGTATATGGCCCCATAAGATCCGGCCTGAGGGAGGCAACGGTGGAGGAGCAGGCTGCAGGACATTAAGGGTAACAAATGAGGCTGGCTGGTCCTCCCACAGGACTCTCTTCCGACTGAGGTGGCGGGAATGAAAATAAGTGTACCTCGCTCCTAGCTACCGGCTTTTTTCTTCATTTCCTCTCCGTGTGACCCTCTCTTTCGCTCCGCTTCTTCGAGCCGACCTCCCTTTCCAACGTCGCATTATTCTCGTGCTCCAACCCCCTCAGCCCTGCTTCTCACCCCCCATGGCATCCTGGTTGACTCCGTTTTTTAAGCGTAGCACGCTTAGCCGAGAAAGCGCGACGGAGATTTAGCGTACGAGGTAGCGAAGCGTGTACGCGACGCGGGAAACTTTCAGCGAGCGTTTCCTAAGCGCCGAACCGAGGTGGTCGCAGCGAGCCAACAACAACGCGACGTGTTGTTGTTACTGTTGTTGCCACGCTGGCAACTTCCGAGCGGACGTTTCAGCCTCGAGGAAATATTTAGCAGTTAGCCGGGATTAAGGAATGCGTTAATTACGAAATACTGCTGCTTCGGTCTATTAAGCGGAAATGTAATTTTGCGACCGGCCATGCGGACCACGCCTACGCTTAATTGCTCAAGGCCGATCCTTTAATCTCTCGGTCTTGATTAATTGAGACCTCGAGCACCCGCGAGTATTTCGTGTAACGGGGACCATGACGTACACGCCGAGATGTGAAGGAGCCCACGAGTTTGATGGAGTTTTATTGTGCACGTTAATTGATTCTGCAACCACTCGACGAAGAGTTATGAGTGCTCCTGCTTGCTTTTGTTTGTTTGGTTTACGTTTAGGTTTTAGGCGTTGCTCAGGGCGGAACGAACGATTCACACGGGTGGTGCGGACGATCGGACGGATTCGTCCTCCATTACGAGGATCGCGCCATAAATCACAGTCGGCCTCCATCGTCCCGATAGAATTCCCCATAATTCGTGAATTATTCGTGAAGAGGAGCGCGGTTACGAGCGACGCGTATATGGCCCCATAAGATCCGGCCTGAGGGAGGCAACGGTGGAGGAGCAGGCTGCAGGACATTAAGGGTAACAAATGAGGCTGGCTGGTCCTCCCACAGGACTCTCTTCCGACTGAGGTGGCGGGAATGAAAATAAGTGTACCTCGCTCCTAGCTACCGGCTTTTTTCTTCATTTCCTCTCCGTGTGACCCTCTCTTTCGCTCCGCTTCTTCGAGCCGACCTCCCTTTCCAACGTCGCATTATTCTCGTGCTCCAACCCCCTCAGCCCTGCTTCTCACCCCCCATGGCATCCTGGTTGACTCCGTTTTTTAAGCGTAGCACGCTTAGCCGAGAAAGCGCGACGGAGATTTAGCGTACGAGGTAGCGAAGCGTGTACGCGACGCGGGAAACTTTCAGCGAGCGTTTCCTAAGCGCCGAACCGAGGTGGTCGCAGCGAGCCAACAACAACGCGACGTGTTGTTGTTACTGTTGTTGCCACGCTGGCAACTTCCGAGCGGACGTTTCAGCCTCGAGGAAATATTTAGCAGTTAGCCGGGATTAAGGAATGCGTTAATTACGAAATACTGCTGCTTCGGTCTATTAAGCGGAAATGTAATTTTGCGACCGGCCATGCGGACCACGCCTACGCTTAATTGCTCAAGGCCGATCCTTTAATCTCTCGGTCTTGATTAATTGAGACCTCGAGCACCCGCGAGTATTTCGTGTAACGGGGACCATGACGTACACGCCGAGATGTGAAGGAGCCCACGAGTTTGATGGAGTTTTATTGTGCACGTTAATTGATTCTGCAACCACTCGACGAAGAGTTATGAGTGCTCCTGCTTGCTTTTGTTTGTTTGGTTTACGTTTAGGTTTTAGGCGTTGCTCAGGGCGGAACGAACGATTCACACGGGTGGTGCGGACGATCGGACGGATTCAGAAACGCAAAATGTGAGTTTGAGATGAAAATTCTACTGCTAAAGGATTTCAGAGCAATATAATTCGTTGTTGAATCTGAATTGTTATTAATTGTATTTGGACACAATTTCAAGGTATCTGCATACGATACACTAACACTAGCTTGGTTCTGAGAACTGAATTTTTGCAGAGATGTTAATATAAAATTTATATTTTTGAAATTACTAAATGTAGATTTCATTAGTAACATATCTAAATATTCATTATTTATCATATATGCAATTTGGTCTCATGACTTATATCTAAATATTAGTCTCATTATTTAATTAAATCTGAATAGTCATTTTATTAATTATTACATCTGAATGTAGGTCTCATTAGTTATCGATTATTATATACATCGACTAATTTATTTTAATTATGCCTCTACCTGATGAAAATAGAAACATAATGCAACCTTGAATTCAATGAAAGCAAATTTGTAACATTTTTGAGTTATGCCAAAATCAATAGCAAGCAATATAAATTAATTTATGAATACATTTATTAATAAATGAATTTTATACAATATTTTTGTCATTCTCAAGACTTACAGTGTTATTTTAATTTGTACATTTTGCATAATTAATATCTTGATTTTGCAAATCAAGTCATGTTATCATATATTAAAATTTAAAATAGTGTATATTTTATATACTTTGCTGTAAAATGAAATAATATTTAATTATGATAAAATAAATGAGAAAACATGATCTCAAGTTTTAGAAAATGATCTGAAATCTTTTATTAGTGATATTTGTTGTTTATTCAGAATAATTTGGAACTACTTTGTTACTTGTTTAATTAAAATAAATTATTTAGTACCTATATATGTAGATCGCAAGTTCTGTTACCAACCTATCAATACAATATCAAATTAATCTTTTTTTTTCAATGTCAAAAAATAATACATCGTTACGTGTGCATGACATTTTACTTTATCTTTTGATATCAATAATTTTGTTATAAATAATAGCTTTAGTCCACAGCAAACTATCACAAATTCACTGTCTGCAAAAGAAATTTGATTTCCTCATTCCCTCTGCTTTGGTTAATATATCAACTTATACCGTAATGCAAATTACAAAAATTCAACTCAAACTATTCTTCAAATTGCAGTTCACAAAGGATACAAAAAGAGAAACAACGCTGCGAATTTGTCGCGGAAAAGCAACAGGGCGCGGACAAAATAGCTGAGGAAATATTTTCTCGATTATTAGCATGGATTAAGAAGTCGGCTAACTGCAAAGTACCGGGAGCAGCTTTTTTCATTATTATGCGAAAACGGGGCAACCCGGTGGACGCGTGGCCGGCTTTTGTTGATTGGACGAAGCGTGGCAGCGTTTGGTCCGCTCGCGTGCATGCGCGGGCAACGTCCTGCCACGCCGCGCGTGTACAAGTGTAAAAGAAACAAAACGAGCAAACCGGCCAGCCCGGGCTCGTGTACCGACCGATGCGATTGATGCAATACAACCAAACTATCGAGAGGAATGAATTTGTGTCGACGGTCCTGCGAAAGAATGCCACAGGTTGACGCCAGGAAAATCGGTCTCGCGGTCTCCACGCTCGATACAGAGACCTCTATCCGTGTAACTCGTGTACGGGGGATCTGGGATAATTGATCGAAAAGGTTACGTGATCACCAAGCTTCTGCTATTGATATTTTACTGCTTTTAGACGTTATGTTTGCAATTGGTAATTATACTGAAATCGGCTGTCATTTCGATATATGGCCTTGAAATATCAGCAACATCATTCTGACTTTTACATGTCCTTAACTTCAGAACACTTTGAAATTACAATAAAAATTTCACTTTATCAAAAATACTTCGATTTTAATGTTTTGATGAATGTCTATGCATGGCGATTCATTTTGGTTCAAAAAGGTATGGTTAGAAAAATGGAATAGAACTGTAAATTTGTAAAGGACCGATTTTTTATGTGTTGAGTGCAGAAAGTTGAAAATGATGAAATTCGAGTGGCAACAGATTCAATTTGTCTGCAAGGCGAATTTTGTATTTGTATGGACGGGGACAGTTACAGAACTTTAGTAAACATTGATCTGGCCATTTGTAATTTTGATATTTTTATTGTAAATCTGAGATAACCTAAATAGTTGTCTATTAATTATCGTTAATAGTAACCAAGGTAAAGCGTAACCAAATCATTATGTCCATGAAAAAAGCAGAATGGTGATCAAGTATTCCATCCCCTAATTGGACCAATAGAAGCGTCCATTTTGAAATAATAATTTGTATTGAGGGCACTTAATTATCTTTAATTATAAAGAGTCTAATAACAGGTATTTTACCGCCATTGTCTCAAAATCTTTTGACAAAGTAATGATAATTTTCATAATATTAATTCTGAAGATTAATTACGAAGTAATGATAATTTTGATAATTATTAAATCTTTTGTAATTCGACTATGATAAAAATGATGTATGTTATAATTAAGGAAAAATTGAATTAAGGGTTAATCTGTGTAACGATTGATTATGATTAAGTTATGAACTGATACGGCTTATTCGCTTCACTTTCGAGCAGTAAATAATGTGTTAAAATGTATATTAAAATTTGGAACTAACGTAGTAATTAGTGTTGAGTTAAGAACTTTTATTGAATGTATTCGATTAAGATTTGGAACGTAATATGTAATTCGTATTGAAATGTGTAATTTGAAAAGTTTCATTTATTTGAAACGTAATGATTTATGAATTGATAATTTATGAGTTAATAATTTATGAGTTGATAATTTATGTTGAGTTTGTTTGAAAGCATTCGAAATGTGTGATTTGAAGAGAACGTAATATGTAATTTGAGGTAATAATTCGTACTTGAGTAACTGAATCAAAATATGTAATTTAAGCAAACTTCGTGTTAAGTTAATATTTTATGTATGACTCACCCGATCACGTGTAATTCGAATTAATAATTTGGTTTAAAGACATTTAATTACAATCTGACATCAAAGTAATCGTAATTTTTATTGAGTTAATTTATCTTAAAAATATTTAACTGTAATTGAAGCTATTACTGTAATTTGTAACCAGTTAATAATTAACCTTGAATTTAATTATAGTAATATATAACTAAAATAGTTATTGTAATTTATACTGAGTTAATAAGTTATAAAATTATTTAAAACCGTACTAACTTGTCTTAAGATAATAATTCTTAAAATTATTGATAATGGTATTTGAAATAATTGTAATCATTCAACTTGAGTTTATATTTCGATTTTAAGCTATTTGGTCACAATATGTAATTGTAATTTTAAGTTGATATACAAAATTACTTCATTATGATTTATGTTTGAAAAAAATGTAATTTAAGAATATTCACTTGCGTCATCACTGTTATGTAAAGAACTTATGTATTGTAATTTGTTGTGTCAAATATAAAAAACATTTTAATACCTGCTGACTGCTTTTAAATAAATCAATCCTCAAAATTTTATGATATTCACTAATATTCAATGATATTATTCGAGTTATAGGATAAAAACATTAAAATAAATAAAGTATTTTAATTATATATGTAATTATTTAGTATTATAATTATAATAATATAATAATTGAATAATTATTATTATAATTACATAGTATGTAGCATATAGTATATTAATGTACATCTATTTAAAATGTATTATTAAAACAATTTCATTAACAAATATAAATGAACCGTTAAAAAATATGAATACTAATATATCAATAATCAACAAAGATAAAATCTATCTTCTTTATTGCATAAAATTAATAATTTATCTCCAAAAAACTTTACAATCAGTATAAAAATTTTATATTTCAATATTTCTGACGAAAAATCTTCTTTATAATTTTAAAAACGAAGAATAAATGTATATTCATGAAACACATACAATATAGAAAATTGAAAGCTTTAATTCTTCCAGAAGAACAGATTTAATCATTGCTGCGTTTCATTTGCCACGAAAAAATGTGCTCCCGCTTGCATGGCAGTTTATAATCCAAAATCCCGGCTCACTGCGCGATCGTTCGTCATACGTAACACCGTGAAACATCGTAGAAGCAGAAAATCAACGAAAAACCACTTATTAAAAACGATTCCATTTCCTCACGGGAGTTGAGACTTTATTACTTGTTAAAGCATCGACCCATGCAATACCGATATCAACTCAAACCCCAATTGAGATCTATGAGTCGTGTTATTAAGGGTTGATTAAAAAACGAAAGAAAAAATAATTTTTTTTAATTAAATCTACAATGGAATTAATTCTTTAGAAATTGAAATTTTAAATCAAATTTAACTACTTAAATTATAAATTTTTGGGCAGTTGAGTTAATTAGAGTTACATAATTATTATTGCAGTATTAAGATAAATAAGGGACGTCGAAATTTAGAATTTCTTAATTAGTTATTACTTAATTCTTACTTAGAAAATAAGGGTATATTTTGGATTTAGAAATTCTTAACACTAAAACTACCAATCAGTCAAACTGACTGGTTTCAGATTTCTCATTTTATATTACAAAATTTTATTGTCGTGATTTTATGGAAATATCTATCATATTTTGTTGAGGTAAAAACTAGTTCTATATGTTGCTTGATGCTTTAGTATTTATTTATTTCCCTTTTCATTTTATTTTTTACTCTTTGATAAACGAGCATTTAATGTCGGTAGTTCTAGTGCTAATTATACAAATTACAATGGGTATCAAATTTAAAACTTTATGCAAATATAATTCAGATTTGTCACATATGAACACTGCGTCAGGTGTTTGACTCGATGCTACCAACCAAGGGGTTGATGACATTTAATTCTAATAAAAAATAATTGACAAGTAAATAATATTAGAGGCTAAACGTAAACATTTACTTATACATTTTTATTTATTTATACGTTCTTTCTGTATTTGTTACTTTTGTATTCGTGTATTATTGTACTTTTATTATTTCTGTATCTTTTCTTCAATAAATCGCAGCTTTCTCAACTTTGTTTTTAACAATTCTTTATTTTAGCGATTTATATTTTTGTTTTTAACAGTAATTTAATTTATAACAGATCAGCTTTGTTTTTAGCACTTCTTTATTTCAACGACTTTAATTTGATTAATTTCTAAATATTCCTAAAAATTTCTAATTATTTCAAACAGAATTGAATGTTACAATTCTAAAATTCAATTTTAAGAAACAACATTGTATAAAATTCAATTATTAATTTTAATAAATAACTGTTAAATAACGGCATTCCTTGAAAAGTGAAGTATGAAGCTCCAATTAGCATCCCGACTCGATTCAGCCCTGTTTCAACGACACCAAAATCAAGTAACAAGCAAAAGATCATAGAGAAAATCGGGCAAACATATCATTTAATTCCCAAACTGAATTGATACAAGCATAAACACTCGTGCATCGTGGATCCGCTTATAATCTGAACGCGGTCGTGGCCGGCACAACAAATAAATCGTGTCAAATTGATCGCCACGGAATTTAAATTGCTCTCATTACGCCACTATTATGCCTGCGAATTTTATTATACCAAAATGAAATCATTTAATCCTTTTGATTTGTATGGCCAATATAGAATGTTCAAAAAGAAAGGGCTCTGAGAATATCAGTTAAATATGGTTAATATTCCTTATCGAACGTGAGTCTCAGAACGAAAACTGTAGGAGAGAATGTGTGCGGCTCACGAGAAGACTCGTGAAATAGCAGTGTGGTGAGAGATATTAGTAGATAGAGTAGAGTTGTTTCATACAAATTTGAAATTTTTGAATTTTTGAATATTGGAATTTTGAAATTCTGGAATTTTGGAATTCTGAAATTTTGGAATTCTGAAATTTTGGAATTCTGAAATTTTGGAATTCTGGAATTTTTGAATTCTGGAACCTTATAATTCTGAAACTTTGGAATTCCGAAGGTTTGGAATTCTGGAATTTCTGAATTCTAGAGTTTTGGATTTCTAAAATTTTAGAATTCCGAAGTTTTAGAATTCAAGAGTTTTGGATTTCTAGAATATCGGAATTCTGAAATTTTGGAATTCTGGAGCTTTGGAATTCTGGAACTTTGGAGTTCTGAAGTTTTCTAGAGGTTTGCATTTCTAGAATTTTGGAATTTTGAAATTTTGGAATTCTGGAATTTTGGAATTCTGGAATTCTGGCATTTAGAAATCATAGAACTTTTAAACATTGTAATTTTTAAACTTTATATCTTTGAGACTAAAATTTGAAGAGGAAATTTGGGAACTTTAAGATTTCAAACTTTGAAACTTTTAATATATAATACTATAAGATATTCAAGAATTAGGAAATTTGAAATGTATGGAGATTAGAGGAATTTAACATTTTATAAATTTGGAAAATTAAGGGAATTTAGGAAAATTAGGAATTTGCAGGAAATTTGACAAAGTGACTTTTTTGACCAAAGTTGACGATTTGATCCTTCAGAACTTTTTAAACCTGTATAATCAAAACTAGTAAATTGTTCAAACCCAAAAATTATGAATTTTGCAAATTTAACAGTTTATAAAGTAAAAAATTAATAAAACAGTATATTAGAAAATTTTCGAGTTAAAATTCCCCGAATTCAAGACCTCGCTGATACATTTCAGGACTCTCGAACCAGACAGACGTCCAGAATACTCCCGCGTTAAATCGCGTCCATACGAATTTCATTATATAGCCACAACTCCGAACAATGTTCCATGCACTGCACTCTATCATATCCACTACATACAATCCTGGTCAGCCCCCATATCAATCGTTACCGCTACAACAGCTCGTTCATCTTAACTCCGTCATCCCTATACACGAAAAACCGTTTCACTCTCCATCTCGTTCGAGCGAACGCTCTTTCTCACAACCGTGATTACCGAAACGTTATTTCGATAAAAGAAATCACGGAATGGAAGAGTCTCGTCGAAGTTTTCCCGCGGAGGTCTCAATTTCTCAAGTTCGAAAACTGCAAGCATCCCAGCAGAGCTTCCGTAACGTGTCGGAAGCTCTCCGAGGAGGACAAGGAGGGCAGACAGGCCGAACGCAAGGGCAGTCAGACTGTCCGCAACAAAAAATAAAAGAAATTGTACGAAGGTTAGATTAATGGCTGAGAAATGCAAATTGTCCGGTAACCCCTAGAGCGAACGGCTGGTCCTCCGGTAGGTGGATAACGGCGTCTCATCCGCTTACCAACCAGCAAAAACCCCTTAGAAATATATCGTAGGTCATTTCCCTTGCTAAACTCGAGGAAAAAAAATTGCCGGCGAACCCCTGGAGCCGAGCGTGCTACATCCAACGAACCCATGCCACTGGACCACCA